ATAGGATGTAGATGTTATAAATCCTTTATGATTTAACTGGAAAAGTCAAATAAAAATTAAAATCTCCTTTACCCTCCATATTTCTGGATTAAGTGGTTAAGTTACAAGACGATCTAAAATTTACCCAGGCACTTTGAAGAGATTCTGATACAGGGGCAGAGTGTAATTAACTGTTGCATTAATACACCCAACAACAGACCTTCTTAACTTATCCAATTGTAGCTTTAGCATCCTTGAGCTTGGAAAAATGACTGCAAGAAATAGAAGTGGCGGATTTGCGAAATTAGTTGTCTGAAAGTCTAAGACTTTGTTTAGCGGTTCTGCAGCAAATTATCTGACATAGTAGTTCAGAAAATGTAATAAGAAATAGAGAACATTGAAGAGATAAAAAATAGGACCAGACAGAATAAAAAGATATCTATGCAGCACTAGAAGAGACTAAACTACACTTTTCTTCACTCATAGAGCCTGCAAGTACACAAGAAAATGTATTAAAGGAATTGTGGATCAGCTGAGCTCACAATACAAACTGCTTCTCAGTGTAACACTGATAAAAATCGTTGTTGAAATGTTAATAGAGGAGCCATGGTGTGATGCCTTCCTGATGACTTCGGAAAGAGAAGGAAGCTTTAAAGAGACAGAAGTTCAATTTCAAGGCTTTAAGACTTGGATTTCTTTTAAGTCATTTTACATATACAGCATCTTTATAACAAGTGAAGGCAAGGTTTTCTGTTTGTAGCATTTTGTTTTTGCTGTGGGGCAGTCAATTCTGGATTGTTTCCATCATGCTGAGCTGGTCGAGGTCATGTTTATCGTTCTGCAGGTGCTGCATAAGCGAGCTCCCTGCAGTCAACAGGAGCAGAGTCTCTTCCTGACTGCTGTGGAGAACACCTGGATCCACGGCCGACAGAAGAGGCGTGAACAGACACGTCAGCTGCGAGAGCTTCCCAGGGCTCCTCCCTGCGCTGGGACCAGTATACAAACCAGTACGGCCACAGCTGCTCCCGTTTCCACTGAAAACCGAGGAAATGACGAGAGCCAGGATGTCGACCTCAAGGGCAAATCCGTTCCTTCAAAAGAGTCGAGCACAGAAACCGAGACCTCGGCTGAAGGACGAGAAGAAAAAGAGGCGCTGGCGAACACAGGGGGTGAGGATGTGGACATGGATTCCTCTGCCTGCGCAGAAACAAGACAGGAAGCGGACGTGAAAACTCCTGCTGCAGAGAGCGCTGGTGACACCGGGCGGCCCCGTACCCCTGGAGGGGTTGAGCACTTTCTGTTCAAGTGTCTGCTGAACGTGATTCCAGAGGGAAACGACGTAGGGGTTGAGATGCACTGGGTCGAGGGTCAGAACAAAGACCTGATGAATCAGCTGCGTACATACCTCAGGAACACACTTTTAAAATCTGTGGGGAAGGTCTGAAGTTCAGGGAGACAGGAGCTGGTCTCACAGTGGTATGTTCAGACCCTGAAGTACAGTATTTCCAAATTAATTGTATCGTTTTATAAAACAGAAAACTCCTTCAAAGTTTATTCACATCATTTTATATTCTCATTTATCCCTAGCTTATCTTTTAAGGTCATTTTTATTCTTGAAACAGAAAACATGAACAAACTTTTGAAATAAATATTTCATGAAAATCTTTGCTTCCTGTTTTTTTATTATTTCGCAGTACATTTCAGTAACCACCAGAGGGTGTGAGTCCCCTGCCCTGCTCTGGTGTAGCAGCAGTAATTCTTGTTTTATGTACCAGATTTTGTAATGACTGTCTTGGACAATTTGTTTAACTTTTGCCTGTTTTTCTTCAGGAAGTTTGTAGAGTCTCTCAGTATTTCCCATGTTTGGAGAGCCATCAGTGTCGAAGCTCTCTATTATAGTTGCTGTCATACATCCGTATTAGAGTCCAGTCAATAACAGGAACACAGATTTAAACATCTTGAGCCTTGCACACGTAGATGCACAATCCCTGCAGTAAAAAAACAAAACCGTTCCTGATCGTACAACATGTGCCTTGGTCATGGCCGGACTTTGACTCCACTGTGTGTGTGGGGGGGGGAGGGAGCAAGTCATGTGCTATCCAGCGAAATTAAACTAGTTTGTTTGCTTTGTTCTTTTTGTCATTGGCCTGGAGCTTAGTGAGTTAATGTTAACAGTTCAATTTATTTATATGTTTTCCTAAAAATGTAGGAGTTTTGCTTTATTGATGACACAAGAAGTCTAAGTGTTGCTGTTTTGTTTGGTATCAAATAAGATTGATAATAAAAACCTATTCATCATCTATACCCACTTGTAGGTGTTTGGACTCAGGAGAGCTCATTTCCTGCAGTCAGTGAGTGAGAGGTGGCATCATTAAATGATTTTGAGGATAAAGAAAACTAATGTGAAGTAATCATATTATTTGTTTAATAAAGGGTAAAACTCTAGTTAAATGTCAGCTTGAACTATGCAGCCCTTAAAGAACCTTAGGAGAACGTTCCCTAAAGGTGTTTTGGTTTATTTTTAAATTGACAGTGTGACTATGACCAGGAGTCACAAGTTTTCAAACTGCTAAAATATTTAGTATTTTTATGAGCATATATGTTTTAATCTTTGAAATGATTTGCACACTACTACATTTTTGTTTAAGATTAAAAAAAAAAAAGTAAATCTGATCAGATAATCTGTTACTACTTGTATCCTTTGTATAGAGTACTTTATTACTCTTGAGTAATTTTCTTGGATGGCTATTTCGGAATTTAACATTTCTCTCACAGTGGGAAACACATTGTGCACAACATGGACACGTGGTTTATCAGTTTTGCTGCTATACTGGCTCACATAAAATAACTTTTAAACTGTTAAAAACTAAATTTAATAATTGTAGAGTACATTCAGCAGTTGAATTTCCACAAAGCACGAAAATATTCAAGGATATGGTGTTGGGAATGTATTTTATCTGAAAGCCTGCTAAATGTTAGAAAGTTTTTTCCGGTTGACGTAAGCAGGTTGCTAAGCGACTCAAAACTGCTACAGACCGTCGCTTACTGTTCTACATAAAATTCTGTTACATTTTCTTTATTTTATTACATTTTTGACAGATGAACATGGATCACAAGGTAAACGCATGAGGTTTTGACAGCTACTGGCGTAAACTTGTCTCGATATCCTTGTAGAGAATGGCGGAGTCACAATAACAGTAACGTCCGTTCACCATAAATGGGCAGAAAAAGCCAATGAAACGTTGTATTTGTAAAATATGTGTAACCCGGAGCGTTGAAGGTTTTTTTTTTTACAACACACACCGCCCTGAGTCATGTTCCGTGTTTTGTCTTCCTCTGACAGAGGGTGGGGACGGCTACGTGTCTGTGGGCGTGTCCTAACACTGCGTGATTCACAAACCGTATTTTTTCGTACTACTTTGAGCGCCATCTTGTTTGTAACTCCTCTACGTAAGTGGTTGGGTTTGTGCAGAGAAGGAGGAGGATCCGATTACTTCATTTTTCAGTTTGTTTTCCCTCCCCCAGAGTTAGTCTGGGAACCTCTTCCCGTACTGTACTACACAGACGTGTATCTCTCCTTCGCTGTTGTGCTTTTCTCTAAAGAAAAATCCAGGCAGTATTTTGCCACTGGACAGAAATGAGCATCGAAACGCTTCTGGAAGCTGCCAAGTTTTTGGAATTACAAGCCCAGCAACAACAGAAAGCACGTGGTAAATTTGGATTTTATTTTTATTATTACGTTTGATATGTTTTCCGAAGTATAGTTTTTAAACTGCGGGGTTGAAAAGGGCCAAAGAAGACTGATATTTTTGGGTAAAACGTTGGATGTTATTCGTTTCCTGGCGTCACTCACGTAGCGATTTCTGAGCAGTTGTATCTTAATCTAAATATGAGCTCTGTGTATCTGCGAAGTGTCAGGGAGTATTTTAGTTTTACTTTCGTATTTATGTTTGCGTGCAGACGCTTGGGTTGCAGCTAGTTTATTTGATCACCAACAGAAATAATAGTGAAATATGCATGGTTTTTACTGCAGTGAGTGCCAGCGTTACTGCATTGAAACCTGCTGCGCATTTCACACTGTAAAGTTCTCAGATGGTTTCTGCTTTCACTTCATTATTATAAGGATTACTCGATCACGCTATAATAAAACTGCTTTATAAGAGATGTATTAATCCATCGACCCAAACGGGGGGATAAAGGGCGGTGGCGCTGGGAATGCCAGGCTCCTTTTTATATAATGACCTGACAGCGTCCGAAGGGGATCAAGTGACTGGTTTACATACATCTGTCCACTTCAATCACCCACTGTGGTTAAAAATACGAACTATAGTCTTACTGTACAGAGACACGACTGCTCTCTCAGTCTACTTATATCAGTTTTTAAAAAAATAAACAGAAACAAACTCCTGTTCCTCTCAGACGCTGGTGGGGGGCTTTGAATGTCTGTCGATGACGCGCTATCAACAAACCTCGCCCCAAAGTATTAACGGCATGCTGACTCCGCCCCCTTCACCACGTGCGTGCTGGGCTACCCCTCCCAGAGCTTGTTTATACAGGAGATGAGTCACTACTCTGTGGAAATTTAACCTCATTCCACCTAAAGAGCAGAAAGCTGAATATGTAGCTAAACAGTAAGTTTTACCAAAACCAGCTAACGCAGTTTCCATCCATCTATTGGTTCAGGTACAACCCGGACAGTTAGATTTTAACAAAATAGAGAAAGATCTTTTCTATAATTTTTACTCAACCTTATTTCTATAAAAATATATACAGGTTTTGTAGTTAGTTTAGGGTAGATTGTCCAAAGTACATTGCAGGGGAATCCATCCATCCATCCATTTTCTTTACACCCTTGTCCCTTATATTGTCCCTTAGTGGGGTCGGGAGGGTTGCTGGTGCCCATCTCCAGCTAACGTTCCGGGCGAGAGGCTGGGTACGCCCTGGACAAGTCGCCAGTCTATCGCAGGGCAACACAGAGACACACAACCATGCACACACACACTCACACCTAGGGGCAATTTGGAGAGGCCAATTAACCTGACAGTCATGTTTTTGGACTGTGGGAGGAAACCGGAGTACCCGGAGGAAACCCACGCATGCACAGGGAGAACATGCAAACTCCATGCAGAAAGGGGAATATTGTCTTTAATTAGGGTTAAAGACTTCTGTATGGATCTTAGGGTGAGATGAGGGACAAGGTAGGGTCACAGGATTTCCCCCAGTGTAATATAAGCCTGGCGGGCCATCAAGTTTTACTTGTACCCCCACCAGGCTAAGCATTGCTTATTTATTTAAGTCTTTTTAAAATGTTTGCAATTATTAAGACTTTATAGTTGGTGTTCAGGTGTTAATCCTCAAGTCTTTCAATAACACATGATTATCAAGTGAAATTTTCTGTCATTTTCAAACATTTTTTAACTCAAAAACACAATGAGCCGCTGGATGAATGACTGCCCCGGCACCCAAACACCAGGTTTAGCAAGTTTTCTGGGGGAAACGTATAAAAAATATTGTTGAATAGACTAAATAAAGTCAAGAAGGAAAATCGCTGGTCTACACAAAAAGACAGTACTTGATATGTTCAATTAATTCGTAAGATGATACTCAGAAGTGAAGACCAAATTTTACATAATGGCATCATGTTTTTTTTTTACTTTATATATTACCATGTAAGTGCTGTTTTTTTTTTTTGTTTGTTTTTTTTAACACTGTAGCATCTCTGATTGGATGATTTTAGCGTATCTTGTTGTGATTAAGGTTCGTTTGTACCATGACACACAAGTCTTTTTTTGTTGTGGTGAAATATTTTTCATAAATCTGAATGGAGCTGTACAATATATTGAGTCGCAAACATTGCACATTTAATATGTGGAATGTTGGAATTACAAAGGCCTGCATGGATGCAATATTTTAAAGTGCCATGCATTTATTCTCTCTGTACCACTAACATAATATTATATTATAATATACAACATATTTGACCAGCTGAAATTACTTTCACGGTCTTTGATGCATATTTCAGTGGCTGAGATGCTAAAGCTTACACACAGAGAAAGGGGGCATTGTACTGTCAGGAAGTGATTTGTAAGGAAAATATGAGTGAATTATTATAGTCAATGCAATACTAAATCATTATATTGAACTTACATCCTTAACTGATGGTGTGCAGCCCAATTACAGAGACAAACAGTCACAAAAATGTACCTGGAGGACCCTGGCTGTTACACATGCATATGGAGAACGTTTATAACTCTCCACAGAAAGGCCACCGCTGGGATTTAAACCCAGGATGTTTTTGCAGTAAGGACAACCTAACCACAAAGCTACCTTAATGTGCTCCTTCAGGACCAGATGCAAGCTCGTTAAGATTTTACAGCTGCACCTGGGATTAAATTTAAGCTCCTCTGCCTTTGTGGAGGTTTGATGCGTGTTAATCGTGACATTTTAAACCGTCTTCCTAAAACGAAAAAAATGTCTGTGGCTGTTTAGCCTAAACTTTGATGAAGTTGGTGTTGGGAAGAGTTATTAGAACAGGATCAGAGTGAGAGCTCCTGCTTCTTTCCTCTCTCTGCTCCTCCTGCTTTGCTGCACTAAGGGGAGCAGAGTCCTCTTTTTCCTCCTCCTCCTCCTCCTCCTCTGCTGCTGTAGAGCAGGTCACTGTGTGCGGGAAAGTAGGCCAGTGTTTCTCTATGTGCTGCTGCAGTTATATAATGCCTATAGAAAACCCGCTGTTTTTTTTGTTTTTTTTCTAACTGCCTCATTTGTTTTCTGTCTGAAAAGGCACTGCTGTTTATGCGCCTACGTCACAATACAGTAAAGCACGACTACAATAACACAACGCACCATGTCTTATAAAAGTGGGCCGGCGCAGTTAGCAGAACATCCTGTTCTTTCAGCATTTTCCCTACTTGGAGGACAACTTTTTATAACGTGACAGGATCACTTATACAGAGAAAATGACTAATCAGTGGGATGGTATTAAAAGGTTTACCAGTCATTTAGAACAGCAGACATTTCCCTCATAGCTGTTTTTTCCTGGATTATGTCAAACACCTTCAAGAAGTTACAACAGTGTGTGTTGACACCATGAAGCAGTGAAATGTTTTGCTTTGTTCAGCATGTTTGCACTTTTCTTGGTTGTAATAGCCAAGAAAATTTGGGTTTGGTTTAATTTGGTGTAATTTCTTATACTAAGCCAAGTTTTCTTGGTTCATTACAATCCTTAAGTAAAGATTTGTCCCCCAGGAGTAGAGCTCTAAAGTTCATCACCTTTGAACTTTTATCTGTTG